TCTTGCTGTGTTCCCCAGGCTGGATGGCAGTGGCACAATCTTGGCTCACTGCTCACAATCTTGGCTCACTGCTCACTTGGTTCAAGTGATTCTCCTGTCTCAGCCTCCCAAGTAGTTGGAATTACAGGCACGTGCCACCATGCCTGGCTAATTTTTGTATTTTTAGTGGAGACAGGATTTGCCATATTGGCCAAGCTGGTCTTGAACTTAGGTGATCCTCTCACCTCAGCCTCACAAAGTGTTAGGATTACAGTGTGAGCCACTGTGCCTGGCCCTACTGTCTTCTTATAAGGAGACACCAGTCATAATGGATAGAGGACCACCCTAATGATTTCATTTAAAATTGAAACTTGATTATCCCTTTAAAGGCCCTACCTTCAAATACAGTCATATTCTGAGGTACTAGGGATTAGGATTCAACATGTGACTTTTGGAGAAACAAATTCAGTCTACAACAGCTTCCGTATTTCTGTGAATGCACTGTTGTGAATAACCAGACTTGATTCTAGCTTTGACCCTACTACAAATGTAGAATGTTGCTTTGGGTAGCTTGTGTCTTTCGTGTGGCGAATACTCTTCCCACTGAAATATTTTATGATGTTTTATGATACTCAGGGCTACACCAAATTAAAGGAACAATAACACAACTATCATTTCAAAAAGTGTATTAACTTTCAAGAAATAGAGTAACAAAACGAATTTAAAAAGTATTTCACTTTTTCATTGATTTTAGGGAGGAAATATTTGCAAATTCACTTATTGAGTTAAAATACTTGTCTTGACCATTTCTTTTGGCTATTTATATGTTTCATATGAATCCTAGAGCTGGAAGTTACCTGAGAGATCTTTTACCCATCTCTTCAGTTTGCACGGGAGAAAGGCCACGGAAATAGAGGTCAGGTTACTTTTTCAAGGTCAGGATTCTAGAAAGTGGTAGAACTTTCTAATTGAGTGCAGATTTCCTAATATCTTGCTTCACTTTCTTTTCTTCTGTATTTATAATACTTCTTTCAGATATTAATATAGTATTTTTAAAATATCTTGTTTATAGCTCAGAAATAACCTACTGTAAAATATAAAATTAGATTCCTATGCCTAATAATTTTACTTAAAAAATAACATTTGTCAGGCCGGGCACAGTGGCTAATGCCTGTAATCCCAGCATTTTGGGAGGTCGAGGCAGGTGTATCTCCTGAGGTCAGGAGTTCGATATCAGCCTGACCAACATGGTGAAACCCCATTTTTACTAAAAATACAAAAAATAGCTGGGCATGGTGGCAGATGCCTGTAATCCCAGCTACTTGGGAGGCTGAGGCAGGATCATAGGTTGAACCCAGGAGGCAAAGATTGCAGTGAGCTGAGATCATGCCATTGTACTCCAGCCTGGGTGACAGAGCAAGATTCTGTCTCAAACAAACAAACAAGAATTAATAATAATAATACTTGTCTATTTAGGCCTTTATGAAACTGGATTTCAACAAAACTGGCAGTGTGCCTATTATAAACATAAGAAAATGTTATTGTGCAAAGAAGCATTCTCAAGTAATTTCAGGTAATTATTCTGAGTCAAAATTCATTGGATTTTGAAAATGTTACCTAATAAAGATAACATCTTTAAATTATATTAATTCGAAGCTTAGACTGAGGCCATTAGGGAGGAAATAAACTTTTTTTTTTTTTTTAACTCGAAACTTAAGAACTATTTGCCTTTCTTCATTTAAAAATTCTTAGGTCTATTGTCTGTACTCATTTGTTTATTTGATATTTATAATCAATATAGAACTCATTTCCTGCTTAGGAGATAGTAAAGGATTTAAGTTAAAAAGAATGAAATAGGTTTAGAAAATGGATAAATACATATGCAAGTTCTCAGAGTTAGTTTTACTGTATCTGCTTATATAGTTATCTATACTTAAGGATTTTGGTGACATGAAGGAGCATCTTTACATATGGAGCTATACATAGAATGAGCATATATATATCTATTAAAATTTGAGGATATTGTAAATTTCTGAAAATAACTCTAGAGATTCATGTCCTGTTATATTTTTTTCTAAATTTTTATATAATTGTTTTATAAGTGCATCCTTTTTATAAAGAAAGCATTTGACCACCACAACTCTCCTCTTTATGTTACACTTTCCTTCTGTAGAAGTCAAAATTATCATTTAGCATATATATTTCAGTTAATCTGTTATGAATTTACTTTATGGATTTTTATGGCTGTATGCATACTCCTGCATACCGTAAATATTTAATACTTTTTGAAGATTTTTTTGACATGAAAGGTGCACTGAACATAATGTTATATAGTTTGCTTTTTATATTCCCCAGTATGTTTTGGAGTTCTTTATATGTTAATCTACATTGAGCCACCTTATTTTTTATCTTGAAGCGTAGTGTTCTTTTAATAAATCAATATACTATCACTTACCTAGCCATTCTTTTATTGTTAGATTTTAAGTTCTAATTATTGATGAACAACTAATGAAGCAATAAATATACTTATTAGTGACTCTTAAGGCCTGTTTTCTACTTCTTCCTGGAGTGATGCTAGTATCTGGAATTACTGGGATATCTGCATTTCAAACTTTAATTGATACTTCCAAATTACATTGTAAAATGGCTATACTAGATTATATAGCCATTTGTTGAAGAGTTCTTTTCCTCCACAACTTTGCCAAAAAATTTCACTTTGCCAATCTGATAGGTTAAAAAACCCATTTACTTACATTTCCTTCATTACTAGGGAGGTTAAACATATTTTTTGTATATTTATTAATTGTTCATCTTTAATGAATACTTATTAACCATATTTTATGAATAATTTCTTTTCAACTTACAACTTTAATTCTGTACTGCTAAATACCATAGAATACTATTATTTTTAGAATTTTATTTCTTACTATTAAAAGAGATACACTGTAATTACTTTGGTTTTTTATCATCATTAACCCTCATGTATGGTTAATTTATTACTTTTAATTATGAAATAAAAATACGAGATTTGTTTATGAGGATTAAAGCTAATCAACACTCGATTCCAAATTTCTAATTATCTATTTCAGGTCAAAATAGTTTAATTTGCTTATCCATACATGAAATAAACTACAGTTACTGTAAGAGAATTTCTGGTGTATATTTAATTGTTGCTACTGTATTTGTTTCCATTAAACACATGTCATTATCTGTTTCTTTCTCTTAATTAGTCATACTAAATATAAGAATGAAATAGTTTAACAGCATGTATTTTTTCTCTTTCTCTTTTCTCATCCAATAATATTAGGTTGTGAAAGTAGCTTCAGTTTTATTATGCGTCATGGAATTTTTGATGAGGGTTTTGTTTTTGTTGTTGTTGGGAAAGCCTTTCTTGGTTTCAGAAATTCCATAATTTGTCTTTGTGTTCGCATTAAGAATGATAACAGGCAAACTAAATATTCTTAAATAGAAGAACACTTGTTGCTATTTCAAAGAAGAAATAAAGTACCCCTATTATTATTTATCATTGCAAATTATAATCTATTCCCATGCCCACCTCTGGGATATAGTTTGTTCACAATTTACAATTAATTTCAAGTTATGACTCTTATATCACATACAAATTATTTTTAACTATAGAAAACATTCCTCCTTAACTTTGCTTAAGTAATATATTAGAAAAAAGTGTTTTAAGATTTAATAGAAATGGGATATCCCAAATGTATTTCTGTGTAATAGTTTTAAAAGTATAACATTTGTTGCTGTGGATATTTTCTGGTCTCCAAGAGGGCTGAAAAAAATTTAGTTATAGATGATAGGAGGTAGATATTTCCTTGGTGAAGGATATAAAGGAGATATGAAATTCTTCGCTATTTGAAATATAAATTTGAGTAAAAAATGTTTCTTTAGAAAAAAACGCTGTGTTAAAACTCCTCTGTTCAGAGGTATGGATGGTAAACAAAATTTATGTTTTTATATAGACTAGATCTTGATTAATTTTTAGCCTTGATTAACATCCAATTAAAACTTCATTTTATTGTTTTATATTACCATCTCTGCAGAGCATAATTATTCAGTCCTTTTTCATTCAACTTGTATTTTTGAAAATACTTTTTCTCTATTTCTTATGTATGTTTTTAAAAGAAAGCAAACTTCTTGATGTTCAAAACAGATTTCATTCCTTTAGTTTGAAAGACACTTTGTAATGCATTATTTTATATGTCCATTAGAGAAAAAAGTTAACTCTCACCTTAATTTTGTCCACCCCGTTAGACAAATGGCTTAAGTGGTGTTGCCGTCTAAGCTTGTTATTTAAAACGTAACCTGACTTTAAAATGTTTGAGAGGATCACATAGAAATTTTTTGACCCTTTTTCTACTACTGTGTATGGGCCTCTGTTTATTCTTTTTAGTGTTATATGACCACTCACTATAGCTTCCTTTCATCTTTTAATTCCTTTGTTCTTGTTTAAAAATTAATGATCAAAAACATTGTGTTCTATGCTAGGATCCTGGAGATAGATCAGTGCAGGGAGATGAAATAATTCCAGTTCATATGTAAATAAATTGGCTGGTAGTTTGACATAAGATTTCAAATTGTGGAAAAGATTTCATAAGATGATTAAGTATTTCTTTGTCATCATCAGTCATTTCACTGAACTTTTCAGGAAACTGTTTCATAGTCAGTACTATTTTACAGGCCATTCCACAGAGGAAGAAATCGTATCATGGTTTCTAGAAACATTAAAAGTTGCCTGCAGCAAGTCTGATGAAGTGTCATATGGTGAATTTGAAGATTACTATGAAGGTTTAAGTATAGGAATAGTAGATGATGAAGATTTTGTTAACATCTTATGTGCTCCATGGGGGATTTAGTCTTTAACAATCCATATGTCATCAGCACTAAGCATTTTATTGGAGAGATGATTTCAGTGTAAAGGATGATCGAACACTGGAATATATTTTCCTAGGACTTTCTTTATTCTGTTTTTTTTTTTTTCTCTCAGAAATGTTGAATCTGGAAAGAGAAATACCCAGAAAGATAGATGTAGGGTTATATGCATGTTTGTGCATGTGTATGCATGCTCACATGTCCATATGTTTGAAAAGATTTTTTTTGGTTTATTACTTACCTTGCATATATTTTAGAGGTCATTTTTTTTTATTAATCTCAGTAGAAAAGTTACATCTGCATCAAACAATATGACAGCAGATATTTAACCAAGTTTCCTATCCTTTCACATTGCTTTTTTGCTACTTCTTCCTTGGGATATATTTGCCACCATTGTCAATTTGATAAATTAGAATCGGGCCCCAAACCAGTGAGAATGAAATATTTCAATATGTTTAAAACATATGAAAATATTAAAATAATTAAAGGATATGCAAGAGAAATTTTTCAAGCAGTGTGATTACAGATGTTTTCTGTATATAGAATTTTAAGAATGGAGGTTTACCTCAGTGATGCTCATTTAAATACTGACTTGTCTTGTAAATGTTTGTCTTCTGAATCATGTACTGTTGTTGTTTAAATAAAGCACAATGTAGTTATTCTAATGACCAGTTACATTTGTTCTTTTATTCTGTTTTTAACTACAATCCTTTTTACCAGTAAACAATTGTTATTTAGCTAGAAACAATACAATATGAAAGGGGAAATGTTTATTATTAAGATAAATACATTATCTTATTAAACAAAGATCCTAAAAGCATATTGTGTCATATATGAATCTAAGGAATAGTACAGTAATTCTTGCCTAAAACGTGAAAGTGTATTTTGTATCCTAAAATGAATATATGATATTCTAAACATCTCTTTTTGTATAGCAAACAATTGAAACATTTCCTTCTAAATATATGTTATTTAATAGTTACATGCATTATAATCATGCTTTCTAAATTCTTTGCTAGTCATTTCTTCCTGGGAAAACAGAAAAGAGACAACTTTATGAGCTGTTTCCAAGTTCATAATTTTACATTTTCTATGTTAATATAACATAAATTAGAAAAAATAAGTGATTCAAAAATGAAAATATTTACTTTGTAGAATATGATTTTAGACATACCACTATATCCATCTATACTTGGCAGCAACATGAGAATTGTGATACATATGAACCCAACAAATTCAAAGTTGAAGTTTTCAAGATTTGAGAAGGTACTAAAACTTAGTATTAAAATATGAGAGGGAAAATATGTGTAAACCTCTTAGTGCTATTTTCACTGACAAAATTTTTTATGTCTAGACTTAAAAAGATTAGGCTATTAAAATTAAAACAATATGCTAGAAGATATTTTGACAGAAATAAGTCTATAACACTATTTTTGTCACTTTTTTTTGAAAAATTCATTCAACTATAGATACCTTAAACCCAAAAATTGTTCTTCTTAAAAATGACTGATAGTGGGGGTGCTCGATATGCACGTAGTGTTTTTCATAGATAATTTTTATTTAGTTCTTAAGAAACCTATTCTTGATGTTAGCATGTCATATTTTTCTGTTACTGTGATCCGAAAATGTATAGGCTGTCATACTGTAAAAAAAAAAAGGGAAGCTGCTTTGGAGATTTAACATAATTTTCCTAATATAAATATTCACATGTGGTTATTTGTGGGAAATAGCTCTACTTATGAGATATTTTTGGTGTATTTTGTTAGAATTGGTGACACAGTAAGTCTACTTTTGGATTTGCCTAACTGCCTGCATTCTTCTTTGATTTTGGTATTGTAAAATCTGTTATTTAGTATTAAACTTAATAAAAGAGCATTTAAGAGAAGTTACATTTCAAACATCCAAGACATAATAATTGACTTTGAAATCCTATGCTTAATAGTCATTGTGATTCTAAAAGACCTTTTGAAAACTTTAAAATATTAAATTATATGTTGTAATGCTGTTACATGAATTTTATAGTTATGTATATTTTGTAGATCTCTATATCTTTGAAAGTTACTTGCTTGTATGCTATATAATTGCTCTCTCAGTTAACCATATTGTTTATGGACTTGTATATATTGAGTTTTCTGTTTTTATGTTTTGAAAATAAAAGTTTAGATAATGTTAAGGAAAAACTCACATTTTATTAAAAAAGACAAGGAATGTTATATAGGACTTTTAAGCTAACTTTTAATGGAAAGGATATACATATTTGCATGATGGAGCTATTATAGTATGGTTAAAAATGTATGTTCCTGTTTTAAATTTTATAGTATATAAATATATGTGCTAATGAACTAGTGACTGCATAGAGACAGTCACTTAGAATAATTCATAATTTTGATAAAGCTATAGGTCACATCTTATTTTACATATTACTTTGAATTCCAGTTTAAGCTGTTATCAATTATTTCAGGAGAGGATTGTGTACATTAGGCCATGTTTACTGCAGATTATTTAATATGCTTTTATGAGATTATAGTTTGTAGTGCTTGCAGATATAAAACATGTAGCCTGATAAACTACAGTCACTACTAGGTTGACCAGCAAGGACAAACATCATGAAAGAAACAACATGAAAGTAAGTGCTTAAAAAAAGAAGAAAAGAAATAGAAGGTAATAAGCATATATAAAACATGCCAAGCAAGAGAAGAGGAAAGATAATCTGCAGGGTAGACAAAGATATATTAGTTTCTGATCAAGAGAAGAAGCTCTTGTCATATCATCCTTCCATTTTTATTTTAAAGTTCTATAAACTTTTGAGGAAAACTGACTTATCGGATGTACTTAATATAAAAAGAATAAATGCTTCATACTGAAGCCACTGTGTACTTAATCATTATTTATTCTGTCAATCAGTCATTTGTACATGGTGAGTGGCACTACCCTTGCAGTAGGCCAATGCTCTGAGATAGTGTAGATTTTTCTCACACTCTCTATTATCCACTCAGTTTCAGGTGCTACTGGTTCTTGAATTTATCCTTTGGTTCTTTAAATTTGTCCCATTCACTGTTTTCAATGCTTATGCCGTAGTTCAAACTCTTAACCACTTCTCGTGTATTTCCCCTCATCAATTCTGCCTCCTTCTCAATCCTGTTTCAACCCATTGATGTTGGAGTGACCTTTTAAAATATACATTACTTCCTGAGTAAAATTCTTCCCTGATACCTCATATCTCTCAGAAAAGTTCAAACTCTGACCTTAACACATAAAACCTAAATGATCTGGTCTTCTTAAGCTCATTTCCCCATACTTAGCTCACTCTCCACATTCTTCCAGTCATTCTGAACTATGTAACAGCTTTTAAAATAGACGGTGAGGTTTCCAACCTCTGCGCATTCATATCTGTTCTGCTATTGTTATCTAAAATTATTTTCTGCACATAGTGCATTAAATTAATTCATACCAATCTTCAAATACTACTTTAAGAATAATGTCTTCTGAAAAGACAAATTAGACAAACTCTTGAATCTCATATATTGGAATCCCATTGGCACTCTGGGTGTGCCGTTACTCTAGCATCCATCACTTTCTACTGTAATCATAAATCTGCTTGTGTTTCTTTTAGCAGACTGTAAACTTCTTGAAGGTAAGAACCATATCTTATTTAGCTTTGTGATCCCGGTGGGTGTTTAGCATGGTGTAGGTGTTAAATCGTTAGTAGGCTGGGTAAATGTGTGATTTATTGAGGAGAAATTGTCATGGTTCTTGTTTTGAAACAATTTTGCATCAAAACACTTTAGTAAATTCCACGTAAATATATGAACGTGCAATTTTATGCGAAATTTACCTATGGAGGCAGCAGGTTACCCTAATAATGCACAGAATGTATGTTCTAACTGGCCACTTTTCCACAAAGCCTCACTGCTTAGGGGCTACTGTATTCACTTCAACTTTTTGGAATTTGGTCAACATCTGATACCTAGTTTATTAGACTTCTAAGCATAATTAGTTGAGTCCATGAAAATAATGTGCTCTTAAAGCCTTAGAGGAATCTTGGTCCTCCCATGGATTAGAAAGACTTCTGGTTGTTTGACAGATAATAAAGTAACCAGATCCTGTCCTGGAATGTTGCTGCAACTTCCTTGATGAACCTTTCATGCAGAGTAATGGTTGAAGTCTCTAAGGAACAAACTGCTGGGATTGCACTGATTTTACAGAACAAATTGCATAACCTTTTCTGACCTCCTTGCTAAGAAATGTTTGTTTAATAAATGTTTGTGCGGCAGAATTTATTCTTAAATAAATGTCATTAAAACCGGGAGTAAGGGATAGGGTAGCTAATTTCCACCTATCTCAAAGACTATTTTTGAGGAGAGGGCCGTGGTTACCTACCAAAAGGAACCTATTACTTGTGCATGGCTTACCTGGCTTAAGTCAGCTCATAGCTGCAGTTCTCTGTCAGACACTGTAGTATGCATCACAGGCCCAAAAATGGCATGGCACTTAGGTGCCTAAAGTAGTAAAGTTAAAGATTGAAATACCAGAAGTCTATAATTAATACAACATGGGCATAAACTAGGTACAGCAGAGCATTTAAGGCCTGCCTGTGTCATCCTAAGGGAGTAATAATAATTCACTATTCTGAAAACATGTGATTTATTAAGGCATTATTGAAATAGAATGAAAGTATTTTAATATAAAATACTGAAATGCTAAAGGATTTTGGATTTGATTGTATAAATTGTGAAAATGTACTAATGAATATACATTTTCAGATTTCTCTCTTTAATCTTGTATAAGCTGATTTGTGTAGTTTTTGGATATCTAAGCAAAGTAAAGTCATTTGGAAGGATTTGAAGAAGCAATTACCTATCCAGTAGATAAATTTTATGCAAGGAGAAAAAAAAATCAAGTTCCTTATTGCTTTTAACTTTTCCTTTTATGAAGCTAGGATGGGACTTCCAAACCATGGCAAATGAATTTAATTATAAAGTGTAGATTCTCACCTTCACAAATACATGTTGAATTTCCTGGGAATTTTTAATAATGATAAAGCCAATAGGAAACAAATAATTGTATTTCAAGGAAATTGTGTTTCATTTATGCAAGTTGCATACTTATATAAAGAGTCTTTTATTGAGGAACTTTTTAGAAAACATTATAAATGAAAAGTTATCTTGAGGAAGCATTCAGATGACTATTAAGAAAAAGTATGTACTTATGCTATTATTTTAATATAAATTATGTGGAATGAGTACAGGCTTTGAAATCACTGAATATTGACTTTAGACTTGGCTCTTCTACAAATTAGCTGCATGACTTTGGGAAACTATTGAGTCTACTTCAACTGCAGGTTGATGTGAGGATGGGATATAGGTATGCATATGATAGAGATGTGGATATAGATATAGTACTTACCACTGTCTAACGTATGTGCATGCGAGTGCGTGCAGACGCGCACGCACACACACACACACACACACACATATATATTCTGAGTATTATATCTATATATATATTTCCTCTGTTTTCTTGCAATTAATTAAAAGCTTTTCTTTTTCTTTCCTGATTATCCTGAATGGCAATTATAAGAGCTATTCTTTTAAAAGATATTTTTACTAGATAGGAATAGTTTGTATGCCACCACTTCCTCCTGGATTTAATAAGCATTTCATTA